GTGCTCTCTGCAGCCTCGTTTGTTTTTTATGTTTGTATTTATTTTCAACAAATACAAACTTTGATAAATAAACATATTCTTAATAAAGAGAGTCCCCCTCACTGTAACTCTTAATTCCTGTCCCTTGGAGATGGTTTGAAAGCCGAACGTGTTCAAAGTGAAGTGAAGTGTCTTGCCCAAGGACACAACGACCGAGACTGTCGGAGCCGGGGCTCGACTAGTATTCATTTGCTTCTTTGTTTGCAGAACCGCCACATTCAGTCAAACAGCAGTTTGAGTCATATTTTTATCATTAATCGCTGCCTGTTTCTCTTCTTCCTCCCAGTCTGAGCAGCCCAGTCCAGCGGGTTCCAGCTCCAGTTCAAGCTTTGCTCCCACACCCCACAAACGGCAAGGTAACCGACTTGGACCGTGCACACAAGTTACAAAGTTTAGTTTGTGCTGTTTGTTAGTGACAGTAACATCATACGTGACACTTCGTGCAGTCAAAGCGGTGGAACCAATAAACTGCACCGCTTTGAGTTGTTTGTGTTTTCGTGATTAGATTTATATCATGAGTGCCACGTGAAATTAAACATAATCCTGAGCAAATGATTTAAACTGTACAGGCACATGTGTTCAGGGCCATTCAGCAAACCAACAAACAGCCGCCTTGCACACATGCTCAGCAGCACTGTAGAAGAATTGAATTCACTTTTTAATGACTTTTATTTTCAACAAATCAACAACAGCACAGGACAAAGGAGGATGGGTGTTGAGATGTAATCAGATAAAAAATCTGTGATAACAACAATTATCCTAATAGATCTTCAGCTGCTTGTTGGGAGAATCTGGGAGAGGAAAACTAACGTGAGCACAAAGTGTCTGAATGTTTTCCCATCATCACTTTCCACGATGCACAGAGGACAGGGGTGATGTCAGGATGTGACGAGACTAGAGTGAGTCTGTTGTGTTACACAGGTGGAAGTATTCAGTCTGGCAGTGTGAAGCTTAAACAGTGTTTTTAACATCACTTTAGGTCCAGCTGACATAAACTTATCACACTCACTGGTAGAAATCAAAGAAAGCAAAATGATGCGTCAACAGTCTGTTGTCATGCAAGCGTAACACCAAGTACACAGTGGTCGCCTAACACTTATTGTGTGCCCTGTAGAGACTGTGGTATGGTTGTCATAAGGTTGCTACACTGTTACTAATTAAAACAAACATTTCCTGTTGGATTAAACGCTCCTTAGCAGCAGGATCGATATTGAACAGTGTTGTTTCACCGCCTCCAGCTGACACGCAGCACCCCTGCACACAGGCAGACACACAACCTCTTTCCTCACTACGACACATGTAGCTGACATTCACAACAATGCACAGCATTTCCCAAGAGGTCAGCAAAACGCCAATGTAAAGAAAACTGAAGTGTTACACAGTCACCATAATCGTTAACCTGCTTGAATTTAACATGTTCACGATTTGTTAACTTAAAATGGAGATAATTAGCTGTTATCATTAAAGTGGACATGAAACTCTACATGTATGAAGGCTAATTTACACCATTGAGCCCTGCTCTCAAAGGTAACGCTGTCTGTGGATTTAAGTGCTTAAAGTTTAAGTTTATATAACACGTTTACCGACATCAGCATGTGATGTCACTGGGTTGGTTAGTTTATGTTAGCTTACTAGTAGCTCGGACCATGCCTCTCCTCAGCCAGGGCTCAGCTATTGCCCATTGTTGGAAGTGGGTGGACCCGAGTCGCTGTCGCCCCATGCAGCACTTGCCAATGAGTCTTGGTACTATACCATGCTGGAATAGCCAGACCTTGAATTTGCCTGGTATGCCTGAACCTGCATCTTACGTAGCCACTCTACATCCTGCTCCTGCAGTGGACGAACTCTCATTTCCAGCCCGCTGGCACAGACTTTCCCGGGAAGGCTGAAGAGAGTGATTCCTCCTACATATTCTAATATGAACCATAAGCTTTATTATTGTAAAGTGGAAGCATTAACTAGCTGTGTATATCATATTGTCTGCAATCATACTGGTACAAATTCTTACGTGATACAAAACTGTCATACTGAGATATCGTTGCTGTAGCAACACCAGGTGTTTATGATCCCTAGTGCATGCAATTAAGAGACAAGCCTGGGCATGTCTGAGTGGGAGAGCCACATGTGTCAGTCTGCAGTGCAGCAACTTCAGGAACCTCCAACAATCAGTCCTCTGCAACATATGCAAGAACCTGTTTCAGCCCTTCACTCTGTGCGCTACAGTCAGGCTGTGTGTGGGGAGCTGCTGGTGTCATGTGACCCAAATGTAAACAAATGACTCCACCAAGTGTGGCTGAAGGACAGGTTAAAGCAGCAGGTTAAAAAGCTCAACTCATGACCCAACATCCCAGGTAGAAGAGTCTTCAGTTTTATTGTGAAAACATTGTGCAGGTTCCTGAAGAGTCACCAGGTTAAGTTACTTTAGTTACTGTTTAACAAAAGTTTCCAGGCCAAACTACGACTAACACTAACCCTATTTCTGTGCTAAATTTGACTTATTCTGTGTTGCAGTGCCGTGCCACTTTAATGCTGCTGCAAACGGCACTGTGTGTCATCAGTGACAGTAGCTCATTGGAAGCAATCATGGGATGCCCTTCATTTAATCAAACTTAGAAATGCTGCAGAAAATCTCTTTTTGTGTAAATTATCAGAAACATTATTACCCAAAATCTTCTTAAAGTATCACTTTGAGCCTGTAGACAAACGGGCACAGCCCTGGTTTATAAACTTTTACTTTGAGTTGGTTCAGAAAGTTGAAGACGTCGTAAGAGAGGCTGCTGAATCATTTTGAGATTGAAGAACATGAGAGAATCATGTTGTTTTCCTGAGCAATGAGAACGATTGAAAACCAGAGAGGAACCAGAACCAGAGCTGTAAGTCAGCTATGTAGATGTGTGCATGTTCCCTTTGAAAGTCAGATACACCAGTCCACATTTGCTGAGCTTTACACGTCACAATCTGCTGCTTTCTGCTTGTATTTCTGAGGTTTAAACTGCAGTGACTGAGGCTTTATTGAACTGTTCCACTCAGTGCTTGGCCCGCTGCAGTCAGTGATGCAGGATCTGCACTCGGACGACGACGACGATGACGATTCAGACGACGATGATGTGGATTCAGACACGGATCGAGCAGGCCACGCACGCCTCACACACCACCAGCACAGGTTAGTAACCCGAGGGCAGCTTTTTGAACGGCTGAACAGCACACTAGTTTAGTTTCATAGAGAAGTGTGCAGACATTGGTAATGAATTCCTTTTTATTAAGGATATTGCTATTATGTGGGCTACTTTGTATCTCACATGTTTGTGCAGTAGAGCCAGCCTTTAACAACAAACCTGTAAAATGATGAAGAGCCACCATTTAAATGTTGGTTAAAATTGCTTGGGACAGTTTCTAAACGTTCTTTCAACGTGCCTTTTACTAACTTTTCAAGTATTTCATGTAAGCTCTTTCCATCTCTCTCCACCATCCTGT